AGAATCGGCATAGGCGACAGGGGGACCAACGAGGTCGTTGCCCTTCGTAGATGCGGTAACACCGTCGATGCCAACAGGTCTTGAGGAGCTGGCCGATGCTGTGGACTTCGATCCCAACATCCCGCGATCCCCCAAGAGTTCGCGTAGCTGTCGATCACGCACGGCTGCCGCATCACTTTTCCCATGAAATCCGCTTGGTATGCCGAGCAAAGTGGCTGCACTAGGCGTGGAACGCGCAAGTGCTGGGCTGCTAACACCTGGCACGTAGTGCTCGGGCATTGCATCCGCCACGATTGGCATTGAACTGCGGCCAGTGAAGAAGTTTCCACCGGTGAATGGAATTCCATCCATCACAAGGTTCTTGTCCTTGTCCGATTCCGAGAATGCGAACTTATCTTTGGCGACTGGACTAACTTGACTTGGGGACCGTATTTCAGGGGATCGTACCTCATCTCCTACGGAAAATGCAGGCATTACTTCCTTTCCTACGTGCTCCCAGCCAGACTCAGTAGTCCTTGAAGACATGGGCATGCTCGAAGGTCGCGTCGCTCCTCCTTGGTTGGAGTTTCGCGCTGCCTCCAATTCGCTGCGTGTCCTTGCTTGAAGATCTTCTTGTGCTTTGAGCGTTTTCCTGAGTTCACTCAGCTCGTCGTGCAAGGTAGGCAATGATCGCCTTGCATGATCTTCATTCTGATGAAGTCATTCCTCTGCTTCTTGCATCCTCTTCACAGCCATTCTGCGGTACTCTTCCTCTTCACCAAGACGTTCGCGAAGCCGAAATCGTTCTTGCTCAATGGCTGCGCTGTTTCCAGCTAGCCCTTGGATCTCGTTCACAGCCCGCAACTCCTGGTTCTTGACCAAGTGGAATCGTTCCTGCATTGCTTGTAAGGCTTGTTCCGAACTTGCTGTGTTTGACCGGAGGACCAAGTTCTCTCTGGCGTATTCATGAAGTTCATGAGTCAGACGCTCATACTCACGTGCCATAAGCTCACCATCACCTTGCGCTCTTGCCTCCAACTGCACAAAGTTGGTGGCTGCCTCCGTGCGGAACACGTGTAGCTGTTGAGCTAACTCCTCGGCAACGGCATGTGCTTGACGGTGTTGAGCAGAGTTCTGTTCATCCATGCGAAACAAAGCTGTTTCATAGTCTCGCTTCATCTCCTGATTGACATTGTTGATGTGCCTCATGGCTACGCATGCATGGTCACGTTGTCGTTCCAATTCTTCAATGCGAATTCCAGATCCTTCATCTTCTTGTTGCATCTCCTTGATCTTGTCCATCAGGGTCTGGACGATTCCTTCATATTCTTGCACCTGACTGCGATAGTACATCTGCTGTGCAAGGTTCGATGCTTCGAACTGTTGCGAAATCGTCAGTTCCTGGTAGGCGTTCGGACCATCAGCTATTGCAGGCGTAGCCACGGATGACGCATCACCACGTGCAGGAATCGTATCTAGAGTCATGTCCAGATCGTCAGTATCACGTGGTTGATTGGTAACCATCCGATTCCAAGTCATGGACTTGTCACGCCCCCGAGTGGCCGAAGTCCTCGATCGTGCTGAAGAGCTTCTCGAAGATGATGGTCTTGACTTCTTTTCCAAGGTCTTGACTCCTTTGGCCTTGGCCCTGGACGTAGTCCGAGGTGCCTGAAAACCAGACGCTTCGGCCCGTCGTTCTGAAGCCTTGCCCGTCCTCGAACCTGTGGATGTCGGACGCGAAGGCGTAGATGCTCTTGGTAGACTCTTTGCTTTCCCCTTGGGAACTGCCCTTGCAATGGCAAGCGCAGAAGATTGACCTTTGTCATCTTCCGTGGAGCTATCAACGGATTGCACCACTGTGTCGTCAGCTGTTGACTCACCAACGGCTGGAGCTGCCACATCGGCACCGAAAGTCATTGTCGTATCTTGGCTTGATCCTGAGTTCATTGTGGTCGTAGTAGATCAAGTAGTCGTTGCTGTAGAAAGGCAGAGCCGCGTACGGCTGATAACCTGCGTGGGGGATTGATCTCGACTTGGTTGCTGCTCTCCACACCAGAGCTGTAATGAATGTAGGTGTGGCTGGCTAGCACTCTCCACAGACTGGACCCTGTCTCTCCCTCTTACTTCCACACGTGCAATCCTATGCAGGCAGAACCGGCGGCCGTTCCTTTTGCACTCATTGCCGGCGGCGGTTCGTCTGTGCAACGGGATAGCTCTGATTGCTCAGGATAGAAGACACATATAGCACTTAGCTATGGGCATTGACTTGAGCCAAACGTTGCGTGGGCGGTCACATAGAAAGGTAAAGATGAGGGATGCGTAGCATGCCCCCTAGAGTCGAGGGACGCGTAGCGTGCCCCCTTCTCTTGCACTTTACACGGTCTTGCTCACAGCTCTTATAGTGACACCTTAGAACTTGACAAGGCATCGCAGTCCGTTCGCAAGTAGTAGTAGTAGTAGTAGTAGTAGTAGTAGTAGTAGTAGTAGTAGTAGTAGTAGTAGTAGTAGTAGTAGTAGTAGTAGTAGTAGTAGTAGTAGTAGTAGTAGTAGTAGTAGTAGTATTAAATAATAATAATATTATTAATAATACTATTAATAATAACAATAATAATAATAAATAATAATAATAATTTTAATAATAATAATTTATAATAATAATAATAATAATAAAATAATAATAATAATAATAATAATAATAATAATAATAATAATAATAATAATAATAATAAAATATAAATTAGTAACAGTTAGTAGTCAGTAGTAGTAGTAGTAGTAGTAGTAGTAGTAGTAGTAGTAGTAGTAGTAGTAGTAGTAGTAGTAGTAGTAGTCGTAAACCTTAAACCCTACTCGGTCCTGGTCTTGTCTTGGCCGTCCAGCTGCGCCGTTGTCAGGCGTCGAGGATGGTTCTCGCCCCGCTCCTAGTGCTTTGGGCTTTAGGCTGAAGGCCTTTAAGGATGGACTACGCATTGGCATATTGCCTCGGAACCTGGGGGCCTGGCTGCTCGTACCGAAGAGCCTTGAGGAGCCTTGGAGCCTGTCAACGAAGAGCTTGCATCGCAAACCAGGCAACATTCCCTGTTCATTCCGGCAGCCGTGGAGCCCTGGAGCCCGGAACCCTTGCATTTCAACCACAGTTAGGCTTGGCCCGGAGCCAGAGGCCAAGGAGGTTGGAGCCTTGGAGCTTGGGAGCCTTGCTTCACATTTCGACCACAGTCAGGCTTGGCCCGGAGCCAGAGGTCAAGGAGGGTCACCATCTTCAGGTAGGGAGCTTGGAGCCTTGCTTTACATTTCGACCACAGCTAGGCGGCTTGGGGCTCCGCAAACGCCAAGAAGGGTCCCCCTTTTCATTTCGGTAGCCTTGGAGCCTTGGAGCATTGCCTTACATTTCGACCACAGTTAGGCTTGGCCCGGAGCCAGAGGCCAAGGAGGGTCCCCCTTTTCATTTCTACATTTGGACCGGGAGCCAAAGGCAAGCAGGGTCCCACTTTCTGGAGCCTTGGAGCCTTTTGGCGCAAAGCCAGCTTGGAGCCTTGCCTTGCGAGCCTTGGAGCCTTGCTTGGCCCCCTTCATTTTGACCACAGTTAGGCTTGGCCCGGAGCCAGAGGCCAAGGAGGGTCCCCCTTTTCATTTCTTGGAGCCTTGGAGCCTGGGAGCCTTGCTTTACATTTGGACCGGTAGCCAAAGGCAAGCAGGGTCCCACTTTCTGGAGCCTTGGAGCTTTTTGGCGCAAAGCCAGCTTGGAGCCTTGCCTTGCGAGCCTTGGAGCCTTGCTTGGCACCCTTTCGTCATGTTGACCACAGTTAGGCTTGGCCCGGAGCCAGAGGCCAAGGAGGGTCCCCCTTTTCATTTCTTGGAGCCTTGCAGCCTGGGAGCCTTGCTTTAGAGCCAAAGGCAAGCAGGGTCCCACTTTCTGGAGCCTTGGAGCCAAAGCCAGCTTGGAGCCTTGCCTTGCGAGCCTTGGAGCCTTGCTTGGCCCCCTTCATTTTGACCACAGTTAGGCTTGGCCCGGAGCCAGAGGCCAAGGAGGGTCCCCCTTTCATTTTGACCACACCGGAGAGGCCAAGGAGGGTCCCCCTTTCATTTTGACCACAGTTAGGCTTGGCACGGAGCCAGAGGCCAAGGAGGGTCCCCCTTTCATTTTGACCACAGTTAGGCTTGGCCCGGAGCCAGAGGCCACGGAGGGTCCCCCGTTGAAAGGCAGGGTCCCCCTTTTCATTTCACAGCCTTGGAGCCTTGGAGCCTGCATCTTGACTCTCTTTCGCTGAAAGAGGGTCTCATTCTAGTCAGGTTCTTCACTCAGCATGCCTGGTCGTACCGAGCTGTCTGCAGCGAGGCAGATTCAAGGCCAGAAGCAGTAGAACACAAACGTACATGAGGGCAGGGTGCTTTGAAACTAAACCTTGTGGCCTTGACGACGATGGGTCGATGTCGATGCGGTCCCTCGCAGCATCGAATCATCCTGGCGACAGCCAAGATCCGCTGTCAAATTAATTAAACTTGACTGTCCAACGCAGCACGGGTCCTGACAGCTTCCTTGGCGCTGCGGCCGTGGACCACGCTTGCCCATCTCCCTGCCTGCAAAGAACGACATGTGAACCAGGTTACATGTGGAATTTGGGTGCGTTCACATGACTCACGACACTGGCCTCTGCTTTTTCGGACAACCCCCGCGCTGAGAATTAAAATAATTGAATTAGGGATCCCAGCCAGTCTTGCGCCAGACCTTGGAGCCTGGGAACCTGGTAGCCGCGACACGCCCTGCAAACAGCTTGTCACGACGCACTTCACCACTTCGGCAAGATGCAACGCACGGCACTGTGCGGAATCGGTTACAACGAGGAAACTCACTGCATCTCACATTGCATGCAATCTTGCCCCCATGCTCGGATATGCTGCTAACTGAACACACGAAGGCTATGAAAGTCACACCCTACTAACTAACCCTGAAACCCTTTAACCGACTCTAAACACACGTTAAACCATACGAGCCATCATCAAATAAAAATGGAGGCTCAGTCGAGTCATTTCTGATTCAGACAGAGCTCCGGCCACCGCCGCTTTCCGGGGTCTGGAGCACAGCCGACCAACACAAACAGCCCCCATTTACCGGCTCGAAGCACCTTTGTGCAGCACGTGTGACTTGCAGCGGGGCAATTGGCTAAGTCGCTGCGTGTTTTCCACAGCTCGGGCCACTGCTTGCACCACGCTCTCAGTCCGGCCTCCCCCTTGGGCATGAAGGGATTCCCGGTCTCCACCTCAAACACCACGCAAGCATAGGCCCACATATCCACAGCTGCAGTCAGCAGCTGCTTTCTGACACCGCAGTCTCCATCGCCATTCACACGAGCGGGCCACAGCTCCGGAGGTCGATAGGCAGCCGTGACATACTGCAGGAACCTGGGAGCCTGAGAAGCCTTCTGGAGCCGTGCCATGTTCTCACTCATGCCGAAGTCGCACACCTGCACCTGATCTGTGCAAGGGCACCAAAGAACATTGCCAGGTTTCACATCCAAGTGTAGGATGCCTGCGTCATGCAAGGTCTGCAGTGCACTTCTCAGCTGAGCTGCCACAGACCACGTCCTCGGCTTGCCATGCGCCGCAGGATTTCGAAGTGCGGTTGCCAGGCTGGGCCCACATAGGCTAGTAGCCATCCATGGCCAAGGTCTGCCCGTGACACCCGAGCTGACAAGAAGCGGGAACCACATCATCTTCTGCTGCGGAACGGCCTTCATTAGAAGCTTCATCTGCTCCACTTCGTGCCTGCAATCCGCGGGGCCATCGGAGCCACGATAAACCTTCACCGCCACGTTAAGGCCGCTTTGCGGATGCTGGCAACTGTAGACACTGCCATAGGCTCCGCCTCCAATTGGAGCCCTTGCACCATTAAGCTCAAATGGGCCAACGCGACCGCCAGATTCGTCAGCGGCAGGGGGGTCCTTCGCCTCGTCGGGGCCGCCCGCACTGGTCGTGGAGCCCCGCATCCTGATGCCAAGAACGGCCAGTGCACTTCGCTGAGCCATGAACTCATCTTTGCTCCTCGCCATGAATGGTGCCTTCTGCTTGTCGGTCATGCCCTGCCAGACTGCGCCAAGATGCTTCATCTCATTGAGAAACTCGTGCTTGGGAGCGCCTTTCTTGACTTCGGAGTTTTCCTGGAACCAGATGACGAAGGCCCTTCGAGCCTTGGGGACCAAGCCGTCTTTCACAGCCTGCTTCCGCAAGCTCTGCGATTTGCTGCCACCATGCTGGCACCCCCGGGGCATCCGACGAGAAGCCGTCTTGAGACTGGTTTTGCCCCAGAGGCGTCTGGTAGGCCTCCATCGGCAGCCCATGTCGAACCCAAGCAGGGAACCTCAGAGCCTGGGAACCTGGGGCCATAACGGCTCGCTTTAATGCATTCAGGCGACTACAAAAACATCCTCGGCGAGTCCTATTTCAATGTCATGCCACAATAAGAGCATTTCGGCTTTTTCAGGCGACAGTAGTCACTGCTACACACTACTGACAAAACTGAGCCCGGCAAAAGGTCAAGAGCCTGAGAACCTGGGAGCCTAGGTGCCTGAGCTGGTGCCTGAGCTGGCGGATTCGGTCGAAGTGAAACATCATCACTGCGGTTGATCGCGGGGGCTATCTGGCTCAGCAGGTGCCTCGTCCTGGTCGTCTTGGTTGGACAAGCTCTCCAGAACGTGCGGGAAATGCTTCTTCACCGCCTTGGCATTCTCGTCCGAGTAAAGAGTGGATCCCTCCAAAGCCATCATTCCGCAAGCTGCGCGATCAGCAACCGCCTGGACCCACGACATGTGCTCCTTGTTGAGGCCTCGGATAATTTAAATAAAATCAAATGACAATGATCTGACGAATCTACTGGACAAGTAAGGGTGCTGCAAAGCCCGTGGTATGCGATGCCGGCAGTCAAAGAAGCCTCCATCAGAGCACCGGTGCCAGCCGTGAGGTCAAACACTGCCTCCGCGCAAAAACTCCTCAATGATGGCATTCCAATATGCTATCGGCTTCGACTCGTTCCAGAACAAGGGTACGTCGGAGCCGTGGCGATCCTGCCAGTCCTCTGGCGGTGTCGGGAGGTCGCCGGTTGTTGCCGGAGCAATGATCTTCTTCTTGGTGTCTGCAGACACGAGGGGCATTTCAGAAACCGCACGGTACTCCACGCCTGAGTAAGTGCCTTGGTACGTAGAAGCCTCGCCGCAGACTGTGAAGGAGCCTTTCTTCGTCGTCTGAATCTTGGTGCGTGCGACCGGGAACTTAACCGCTCCTGTCTCCACCTTCTTTGCAGCCAGCGGAACGCGGCGAGTGCGACCAGTTCTCGGCGGGCACCCACCTGAGTACACGATGGTGCACTCCTCGGTGTGCTGCTGGTTCAGCAGGAGGTCTTCCTTAAAGAACCAGGTGCAGCCTTTGAGCCTTGGAGCCTGGGAGCCTTGTCACATCACCCCGCCAAGACTCGGACACGCGGCGAATTTCCCGCATTCTGCCGTCGAAGAGTACGACGAAATCCTCGGGCCCAGAAATGTCTTTGGCAAAGGCACAGATCTCTTTCCATTCCTCGCTTGGCGGAGTGCCCTTGAGCCACGGGTCGGTACCAGCCTCTGCCAAGAGATCCGCACTGGCAACGATCAGGCGGTGCGAAGAGTTTAAGGTGCCCTTGTGCGTGAAGACCTTGCCGCAACCTCTGAACGCATTGACTAGGCAGTCCTTCGAGATCTTGTTCGGTACCGAGAACGACACGAACTTGCGGCGTTCCGTTTGCACCGCCTTCCACTGCCGCTCACGCTCGACACATTCCTCGGGTGTGTCAGCTTCAGAAGCCTTGGCCAGGCTTTGGAGCAAACTCGGAGCAGGAGCCGCAGATGTGGCACCAACGGACTTCGTGCTGTTGTCGAACTTGTCGACAATGATCTTCATCTGAGTGATAAGCGCACATGGCTCCTCGTGCTCCGTGTCATCCGAGCTTCCAAGCTGTGCAGCTGTCAATGCCTTTGCAAGGCCATCTTCACTCGAAGCCAGCATGCAGCAATCCTTGTAGTACTTCCCCGACATCAGCTCCAGCAGCAAATCCAAAAGCATGCCAATGGCTTTGTTGAAACCCTCTTTAACAGCTCCAATCTTGGACTGCGGAACAGGGCGCTCCACGTCCTCTGGGTCCTCGCCGTCCATGTCGTCCTCTCCAGCAGCCCCTTGATCAGCATCAGCATGGCAGAGATATTTCTCCCAACATGTGGAAGGGCAACGGAGTTCAGCCAAAATCCCTGTCAGCTTAACCTTGTCCGGCTCAGGCAACTTGTTCGCCAGCTTTGCTGCATAATCGAAGACCTCTGTCAGTGTTCAAGCTGCCGATGACTTGCAACACTCCGCAAAAAAAAAAATACACACGCTAGTCAGAATAGTTACAATGCCTGCACCACCAGCATGCGCGACAACCAAAAGCCAGCATCGCCTGTCTTCCGGTCTCGATCCAGAAACTTCTCGGTGCATTTAGCTGGCGTGACCATGTTCATGCGCAGGGCCAGCGTCAAGGAGTCGATCATCCAGGCCGTCAGGTCTACAGCGTTTCTGGTAGCAGATGCGAGCTTGTTGGTCAGCGATAACAGCTTGCTCAACTTCGAGTACTGACTGCTCAAGATGCCCCGCCCAAATTCCAGCCCCAATCTCCGGGCAGCCTTCTCCACGGGACCGGATGGACCCCGCAGCACTGCAACAGCTGCTGTGGCAGCCTGGTGTAAGGCCTTGTTGTACAAGGTGTTGTTGTACCTCAAGTTCTGTTCCTCACCATCCTGGACTTTTTCGACCTTGAGCAGCTGGACAGTCTTTGCAAATGTCCAAAAGGTGTCGGACAGGCCAGGGTGCCCGAGTGCCTTGACTTTCTCTGAAGCAAGATTGCGACTCTTCGCAATCTCCCCTGCGCTGGAACACAAGCGAACCTGTATCGTGACAGTGCAGCCACACTCCCACAAAATCTCCAAAACTGCTTTGTCCTGCCAAGTGCAAGCACACATCAGTCAGATGAATCAATAACATGTCATGTCATGTGAACACAAGCAGCAACTGTCCTGGGAGACTAGGGCTTTGAAGACGGCCAAGTACCAAGCCCACAACACAAACACGCCGCTAGCAAGATGCAACGAGCTGTTGAACTCTTCGTGAATCACGTCAGATGCTGACTCCGTGAGGACAATCATCTCACAAGGCCACGTCAGCCGGTTTCGTGACGTTTTTTGTTTCTTCTTGGCAGCTTCACGCGATACAACTGTGCTGAAAGCAACTTTCTTGGAGAAGAAAGCGTCTTCGAAAGTTTGGAGATCCTGCCAGCACACATCCTCAGACGCACTGGCAAAAGCTTCGGTGGCCAGCCACAGCGCGAGGCCACTGGCTTCGTAAAGTCCAGATGATGTCAGGGACGCTTGGCAGTCATCTTTGCTCCACACAGCCTGACAAACGACAACGGTCAAACAATAATAAATGACATTGATCGACATGCGCCCGCCTTGTATCCGGTCAAATCCCCCATCTTGGCTTCTGCGTTGATGGCAAGCGGCGGTGTCTTGAACATCTGCTTGGCCTGCGGAAACTTCAGAGGGAGCTGGCTGCGGACCTCGGGCAGGCACGGCATGCAGCACTGTTAGCCGCGAGACGGGACACGGTATCAAGAACTCAGCGAAGGGCCCATGGCACGATGTTTGCCAGGGCTTCTTGAGCACTGGCCTGCTTCACATGGCGTGCCACACATCATCATCACACACGTCATACTGCTCCGAAAATGCTGAGCTCAGAACGGTTGGGTCGGTGGGCAAATCCGGCACTTTTGCCATTGAGCGCGAGTACAGAAGCCTGGGAACCTGGGAGCCGAGTAGCCTTCCACGGAACCGTTTGGAGTCTTGCGGTGCAGCGCAAGGCAATAAGACTGCTGCAGTGCAGGACATGCTGCAAACAAACACAAACTGACGTCGACAGCGGTCCTTTGTAGTCGTGGGCCCTGCCACAGTTTGTCGACGAGCGGCTTGAGCTTTACATGTCCATTTAAATCAAGTTGGCAGCAAAGTAAGGAAGCATCAAAATCCTACTATGCTGCTGATGAGTCATCTAAACATGACGACACCAAGCCGGCGCCACATGGACCTTGGAGCCTGGGAGCCTAGGAGCCTGGGAGACGCCTCAGCTGGGCATCAACGGCAGCGAGGGCATCCTGGTCGCGGCGGAGCTGCTTGTTGGAGACGTCCACCTGTTCCTTCAAGCGCCGTTTGTGCTCCACCAGCTTGGAGCGCTGAGCCTCAAGGAGAATGTCTGAGTGCTTCCTGGGGTTGCTCATGCTCACGATGACCATCTCGATCCCGGACCTGCGTACCTTCAAGTTGCCGGTGCGGATCCGCTCTGCCAGGTCATTGCCCTTGAGCATCCAGAAGTACCCCATCGGATGGAGAACCGGCGGTGACTGGTTGATGACGCCCTCGCAGCTGAACTCGAGCCTGTCCATGTCGAGCTGCTTGAGGGCAAAAAAACCCAACGTGGCCGCTGCGTGCGTGGACGAAGAAACCGGGAACAGGGATGCACCGGGATCCGGAAGGAACGGATCCCCCTGCGCAGCGAACACGTGGTTCCGGGCCAAGAAGTTCACGAGGGCAGATGTGTCCTCCTTGCTAATGTCGAAGCCGCCGCCGCCGCCGCCTTCCTCCGACTTGACCGCCGTGTAGCACATGAAGCCCAAACCCCCGCCAAGGTCGGGCCCGGGTGCAAGGGTCTGCCAGGCGCGGCTGGTCGTGGCCTGCACCATGACGTGCCTTGATCGGACGCAATACCCTGGACCCCTAAACCCCTAAACCCCTGAACCCTTGAACCCCTGAACCTCTGAACCCCTGAGCCTATAATTAATATAAAATTAAATAACAATAAATGAAAAGACTTCCTGGCGTCCGATGTACTCGAATTCAAGGCTCCAGTTCGCCTCGTCGTGGAAAGGCAGCTCCTGGCAAGGATCCGAGAACAGCGGAACATAGTAGCCGCCATCCTCCACCACAATGTCTCTTGCAGAGCACGCTTCGGCCAGATTTTTCTTGGTGAACAGTGTGAGAACCACGAACTGGGTCTCCCCAATGGCTTCTGTCAGCTGGCGGCGCGATGAGCGCAGCTTCGCCTTCACAGGCTTGTCTGCAGCAGACGGGGCCGCCCCCAACTTGCGCATGGCTTCCTTGCGCTGCCATGTGATGGCGTCCAGTTTCGTCGCCAGAAACAAGGCACGGAAGCCGATCTCCGGTGACTCGTAATAGGAATCCTTCTCAAACTCGGAAGCCGCCTCCACACTCTTCTCGTAGTCACTTGCCCTCAGCGCACAGTAGCCGAGACGCGACCAAGATCTCTGAGACTGAGTCTCTATCACTGGGTTCTCCTCCGGCTCGGCGATGATGGTGGGTGCCATATCTGCGGCGGCTGCTTTAGGATCGGCTGCGGCCATTTTCGCAGGCGGCATTGGGACCTAGTAGCCTATGTGAGCCAGGGAGCCTTGGAGCCTGTTGCCGCAGAAGCCTCGTATCAGATGCTGATAGTGACATGGCAAGACTGACACAACACACTGTCGCATGCAACTGTCATGTTCTGACAACTCAGCCACACAGCCAACCATGACTGAAATGAAACGACTTTGGGCCTGCCCCTCGACGTCCAGCTTGTCGACGACAACAGCCTCAGACAATGCAGTGACAAGTGACATGTGCATTGAAGGGTCATTTGCGTGCGTTGAAGGGTCATTCGTGTGCATTGAAGGGTGACAGGTGCTTCTTTCATCATTAAGGCACTGCTAACGTGACCCTTGGATGCACTCAAAACACCCTTGGATGCATGGAACAAGAGCTGCCGGGACCCTTGGATGCATCCAAAACACCCTTGGATGTAGCGCCGCGGCGATTGGCGCGAATCCTGCCTGTATTGAAATGAAAGAGGAAGGCTATTGCAAGGGACAAATGGAACGTCAATACACCAGGGATTGGCACCAATCCATGGTGTATTGCATCCTACCATTGTCCTGCAATTAAACAACTGCAGGGGAAGTGAATTGCAAGGCCGTTTTGTCCTGCCAATACGCCCCGGATTGGCACCAATCTGCAGTGTATTGAGCAGGGGCTTGCAACAGGCTCTGTTGCAGGCACTTGCTGCCCCAGACAAGGTTAACCCTGCCTTGCGACACAGGCCCCCTGTACATTCCTGTGCGAACGACTAGACTTAAAATGATTCGACCCCAGGAAAATTCCTGCCTGCGAACCTGGGAGCCAAGGAGCCAAGGAGCCAAAGAGCACTGTCATTAACTGCTGCAGTACAGGACTATGACGCACGAACTTTCTTGGGTTTCTTGGGGGGCAAATGCCTCATCTGTACACCAGCACCGGACAATGTCCGCTTCTGGGACAACCCGCGGACGGTGCGGAGGAAATTCCAGATATCGGCCTCTCCATTGATCTTGTAGGTGGTGCGCCTCTTGGTAGCAAATTGAGTGGGCAGTGGTGTGCCGATAGCAACACGCCACTTCGACTGGGGCAACTTCTCACAGAATCGCAGGGCCTCGACGATGGCACGGGTCCTGACTGATTGAACTTAAATTGAACCCAAACCCAACCCTAGACAATAAACCCTTCAACCCGAAACCCTTGAAACTCAGTGTCTGTGCCACCGAGCAACAGTTGACAGCTCTTGGCGATCTCAAGGCCGACCAGCCTCGAAGTTGCAGCTGTGTTGAAGGACAAGAACGACTTCTCAGCATCAATTGTCGGATTGTCCAAGTATGCCAGAATCGCCTCCCTGGAGGCAAGCACTTTGCCACAGCCGTACGCAATGATCAAGGCAGGAACCTGGGATGAAACACGTCAACGTGTACCAGCAGTGACGATCTAAGCCTGGCATCATCCGACTTTTAAACATTTTAATTAAAAGCTTGGGACCAGTCGGTCGCTGCGGACCGTCTCCACATCGGACAGTTGTTCGAGGACCAGGATATCGGCGGATTCATACTCGTACGGTCCAAGAATCTGGAAATGCTTGTTGCCTTGCAGCGACTTGCTGTCCGTGTAGCGACGATAGACCGGACATAGCTTCAGAGCTCGTTTGCGGAGGATGCTTTGCAAGACGGATGACCGATCCTTCTCGTGGCCGTGCTGCACCATGCGCAAACCGCCAAGCCGTGCCGCCGTTGTTGTGTAAGCAATCTTGCCAGAGGATCGTCTCCGCGCTTCCTCTTGGTGACCTTGGCTGGATGACAATGACAATGTGTATGACACTTCAAATGACTTAGCACGGAAAGCAACCGTTGTGCTGCTGAGTCACCGTCATATTTCTGCTGTGTGCGTGCACGGAAATTCTCCAAATGCTTGAGGGCATCTGGTGTGGGGCGGGCGAAAGCCCAACGTGTGCCAGCAACGCTGTTCTGGGCAGAGGCAGACGCTGCCGGCAAAGGCAGGCTCAAGCCCGGCACGAAAGAGGCCGGCTTCCACGACCTGCCTTTCGAAGCAGCTGCCTCTGCTCTCTTCGCTGCCTCGGCGGCGGCTGCTTCACGGCCTCTGACAATTGCAGCCAGAGTTCCAGAACGTGCCTGGCGGGGCTTGCTGGGCCCCTGCTTTCGTTCTTTGTTGTAGGTCATGCGGAACCGACGCCCAAAGTGACGAATCCACAGTTCACCACAAAGAACCCCGAAGTCAGTTGGGGTCAGCACGGCACCTTCGCTCTCCGGCTTCCGGAAAAATTCTTCCTCTCGCTGGGGACCTTCAACTGCCACCTCGAGGATGGAGGCAATGGTTGAGCCATTTGGAGTGAGGGGTCCGGAATGCGCCTCCAGCTGTGTGAGCAAGTGTCCCAAATCCCTTTCCAGCGTGGTCGTGTTGATCTTCAAGGACAAGAAGAAAGCAATGAGGGCATGACAATCCTCTGTCCATGGAAGTTTGTGTGCATGCCGTGCACGCCACGCTGGCCGAAGCAACCAAGACCACGCATGTTTGTTCCCGAAGCCTGGGCCCTTTGACTTAGCTGCTTCTAGAAGAGGATGCAATTTGCGAGCAAATCTGGGTCCTTTGACTTAGCTGCTTCTAGAAGAGGATGCAATTTGCGAGCAAATCGTCCAAACAGCACGGCTGTACCGTGCGAAAGCTTGAGCATATCCCAGAGCTTGCGTGTAGAGTCCACTAGCTCCTGTTGTCGGTTCGTCTCCTGCCACAGCCGAAGGTTGAATACCTGCAGAGCCACGGCGATCTCATCCTCCGTCAGATCTACTCGCAAACGCTCCAGCATCGCCTCGACCACGTGCGCCATAGTTCCCATGATCTGCCTTACATCAGAAATGCCGGCCTTCGTGCACAGGTAGTGGACTCTGTTGCCATAGAAGATCCTAGGTTTGCCACGGCGGGCATACCAGCGAAGCCTACTGGAACACAACCGCTATGACGACGACAAACTTGCAGGGTAGTTGCGGCTCTGGTGTCTGGATCTCCTCGTAAACTAACTGGGTTGCACACCTCCTGGGAGCCTGGGAGCCTGGATCCTCGGAGCCGTCCACGGAACTGGGAACCTGCGAGCTGTCGGAGAGGATGTATCCATCCACAAATAAGAACCGCTGGCGCTTGGTGAACTCTTCCAGCACTCTGGGGGTGCAGGATACATCTGGATCCTCAATGTCAAAGTTCCTGCGCAAGAAACCCAGGCCCTCAGATGTGTAGTCGCAAGTGAGTCCACAGCGCATGAGGGCTGCTGCATTCATGTTTTGCAAGGCGCGCTCTGCTCGGGAGCGAATCTCGACCGTGTTTCTCTCCTGTGTGTCATACAACGGACATTTAAACATACATGACATACATGCGTAGAGTACATACATACTATTATTACATTACATACATACATGCATACATACTACATACATAATACTTACATACATTAAATTACATACATACATACATACATACATACATACAAACATACAAACATACATACTATACATACATAACATACTACGATACATACACACATACATACAAACATTCAATGTTTAAAATAATTTAATTTATTAATATTAAATTAGTTCATACTCAGTCATACAATACATACATACATACATACATACATACATACATATATACATGCCATACATACATACATACATACACACATACATACATACATACTATAATATACATACATACATACATACATACATCATACATACATACATACATACATACATACTATAAATACATACATACATACATACGTACATTTTATGTTAATAATATGTCTAATAATACCTACATGCATACATACATACATACAATGCCAATACAATACATACATACATACATACATACATACGTATCATACATACATACATACATACAAACATACATACATAATACATACACACATACATACTTTAAATTTCTTAACGCTACACATACATACATACATACTACATACATACATACATACCTACATACATACGTACATGCATAAATACTTACATCCATGCTTTACTTACATAATACATACTACATACATACATGCATACATACATACTCATACATAATACTTACATACATACATACATACATACATACATACGTACATGCCATACATACATACATACATACAATTCAAATTAGATACTACACATTGAAAGTGAATTACCATGCATTAATACATACATACATACATACATACATACATACTACATATCATATACATAATACTAAGACTACATACTTAGTTATTATTGAATAAAAGTTAATATATTATAAAATTAATTAAATAGTTATTAATCATTGTCATTAATATTTATTTAATTTAAATTATTATTATTATTAAATTATTAAATAATAATTACGTACATACATACATCCGCACATACATGCATTAATACAATCCATACTAAGACTAAGATTTAATACACAATAATTAAATTAAAATAAATAATAATAATTATTAAATTTAATAATTTTAAAATTAAATTGTTTGACATAAGGACAAGACTCGTCAGCAGCCTGCATAGCACATAAGACCGCCATCGCACGAATCATGCACAAGTACTTCAGCATTGGTGTGGCCGACGAGTCAAACCGAGGTTGGGAGAACGACAACGCTCGGATCACCTTCTCCACACCAGCATGGGAGCCATGGAGCCTGAGAACCTCTTGCTGGGCCGCCATGAGCCTGGCCTTCCAGACTTCTGAGTTCTGGATGTCCGGGATAAGCGCATGCTTGCCCTTGCCGGGAGCAAACAAACGCTCCCACTGGTCTTGGAAATCGGGCATGGCGTGAAGAGGGTCCTGGTAGGCAATACGAACCTGGTGCGCAGGATCATGGCTTACCCAGACCAGGTTAGGATACTGGCCGCCAGTGACCAACAACCTTCCACACTTCCGGGCAGATGTGCACTGATCGGCTGCAAAGTGCCGCAAGTGCAGCTTCAAGCGGCTGCAGGACTCCTCGTCAGTTTTGCCTTCCGGATCCTGACAGGCCCTGTCAATGACTATGCCTATGCTGTCTGCCATCACCTGACTCTTGTCCGCATCGTGCTCCTCCAATGTGTTTTCATGAACACTGGCACCTGTCTTGTAGACCCCAA